ACTCCCAGGCTAGGAATGTGATTGAAAGATGCTTTGGGTTGTTGAAGGGACGTTGGGCCATTGTCAGGTCAAAGTCTTTTTATCCGGTGAAAACGCAGTGCCGCATAATCACTGCTTGCTGCCTGCTTCATAATCATATTAGGAATGAGTTGCCTATTGACCCTTTAGAGGATAATACTGTGGACATGGCTGAAGCTGCAGACAACTTCGAAGGACATAACTTGATAACTCATGTTGAGTCATCAAGTGCTTGGAGAAGGTGGAGGGATGATTTGACCCAACAGATGTTTGATACATGGAGGAATGGTGTTTGATTTGGTTTAGGACTTTGTGTGATTTATAATGTTGTTGTGTTTTGGTTACATCGACTTAGTTTCATTTCATAACATTTGTGTGATTGTATTTAACTCTTTCTTTTTCTATGTGAGGCTATGTAATAGATACTATATATGTCAGTTTGGTACTGTTGATTTATGTAATCTATTTGTAACTGATTGTCTATTGATTATAGTATACAAACAACATATTTTTTTCTTAACACCTTATGCAGATGGCTGAAAAGGATTCCCAATCGAGCAAGCGGATTAATCACACGTGGACATCAGAAGAGGCCAGGGTGCTTGTTGATTGTCTTGTTGAGTCCGGTTTAGCATGGAAGGGTGAGAATGGTTTCAGGCCCGGATTTCCCAATCACTTAGAGAAGCTGATGCATGCTAAAATTCCTGGATGTACACTTAAGGGCACTCCACACATTACGTCTAGAATCAAGCTCCTAAAGAAGCACTACAATGCCATTGCTGAGATGATGGGGCCGAATGGGGGAAGTGGTTTCGGGTGGAATGATAGGGACAAAATGATTGACGTGGAGAAGCAAATTTACATGAACTGGATTAAGGTAAAACTCATTATTGTGAACAGAAAAATTATCGTATGTATTGCATTTTCTTTGTTATAATTTACTGTTCTAATGACACACTGAATTGTATTATCCATGCAGACTCACCCTAATGCCAAGGGTCTCTACAAAAAACCATTTCCATACTATGACGCATTGGGACCGATTTTTGGAAAGGACATGGCAAATAGAGAGCATGCCGAGGGTCCAGAAGATGCAGTCCACAATATGGACAATGAGACAATTGGTATTGCTGAAAGTGGGACTGCCGTGGAAGAAATTTATGATCTATTTGAAGACAACACAATCTCACCGAATTGGGAACCTCCACTCCCTGACACTGCAACTGAAGAAGCCACACAAACTTCTCCTGTGTCAATTTCTGTTGCAAAAAAGGGTAAAAAGAGAGGAAGGAATGAGGAAGCTTTGGCTAGTGAGGTATCTGTTGCAATTAAAGATCTTGGTAATGATTATAAAACCACAAATGACAAAATTGACAGGTTGATTACATGCTTTGAACACCAAGGTGAGGGTTCAAGCAAAAAAACTTTTGTTGTCCAAGAATTGAAGCAATTTGAAATATTGACAGTTGAACAGAGGGTTAACCTTGCCATGATTATGCATAAGGATCCCACTATATTGGAAATTTTTTTGGAAGGTGGTGAAGAAGAAAAACAGTTTGTGGTGGCATCCTTATTGAGTAAAGGGTGAGAGTGTGAGTACTTCACTTTTTTGAGAACCCCTGGTTATATGGGTTGTGTTCACTACTTTTGAATGTCATTTACTATCTATGTCTGTGTCATGAGACATCTAGGCTGTTGTCACATGTTTTATAAGTCAGCCACATTATGCATATTTTGAAGACCTCTAATAGAAGACAGATGCTTTCATGAAATGGGTTTTTTGAGATTAACCTTGCAATGTTAACAAAACAGATTTAAGCCTGCAATGGTGTTTATATATGGTTTAGCAGGTATGTATTTATTAAATGGTGGGGCATGTGTGATATATATTTCACAGTCATTTATACATGTTGATAAAAATTTCATGGTTTGTGATTTGTGTAAAGCATAACAGGTGTTGAACTATGCTGGCATGCTCAAGCTTACGTACCTAGGGAGGTGCTGCAAGATTCAAGTTTGTGAAGGTTAAGCAAAGGTTCATCATGTGAAAGATTGCTGAGGACATGATGATTTGGTTTTATATTGTATACATTGTTTTGTACAGATGTATATGTCCTAAAGTACTTCTTTCAGTGAGGCCTTTAGGCAGGTTACATGGTTTCTGGAATTCGGTTATTTTGTCCCATTTCATGTATAGCAACTAAAGCTTCTTTAAATCAGGTTGTCAGGATATATAAATGATGTAAGATCGATGTTATCTATGTGATATATTTTATCCTGTTGAGTGTGCTGATTTCAATTGCTTTCTATTCTATGTCATATCTATTTGGTGAGCTTGGATATAAACTAATGTTTCTTGGTTTTGGTCTCGGTCCATGAGCTGAACCACATTTTACTGCAGAGGCATATAACAAGAACCAAATACACACACACTGTCACCAGATTGCAATCTTTCAATGTTACTATTGTCGGTGGCATACTTTTCTTTTGGATTTTTGTATACTTATGTAATAATCCTCTTAGCAGTAAATTGGATCAGAATTCCCATTTCTATAAATTCAGTAATGCTGTTATGGCCCTCTGAGTATTTTTTTATAACCTCTATCATGATTGCAATATCTTCTTTGTATCTATATACGGCATGATAGCCAAAGCTGGTGGCAGTGTCAAAAAAATTGAATTTGCCTACATGAGGAAATGGTATACGAAGAAAGAAAGCATTCAGCATGCTGCTATTATATTTTTGACATGATTTTTTATATTATTTGTGTTCCATTTACATTTGTTCTTTCAATTCTTCTTTCATTTTATCAAATCAAAACAGTACCATTTTGAACTTAAAACAGATGACTGTAACATGGACAAGTGGATATGGGATCAGTAATGCTGAACCTTTTGTTCAATGGGGTCCAAAAGAAGTATCATATATATTAACCTGTTGGCACACTTACTTTCAGTTTTCGATTATAACCAACATCACCACAATGAGATTATACACAGATTGAAATTTATTAAATATTGTATAACAACTGATGACAATTACAAATTAGGAAACTATATGAGGGCAATATCATAACAAGTTACATCCCAAAAGTAGGAGCATAAAAATCTGTTACAGAAGTGCACAACATCAGTAAGTGATTTAAGCCTAAAACTCAGCAAAATCACCAATGCCATATATTTGTTGTCCCAAAAAATAGGTGGAGACTGATTACAGCATACTAAACCAAAAAATTACAAATAGTCTGTTGCTCAATAAGGACCTATTTATTCCTCGCTGAATCAAATTGCTCCACTCTTGGAATTACAGTTGATTTGCCATCTTATATCAATTGCTTCCCATCTTATATCATTTGCCTTATGGGGTTTATACATAGCACTGCTCAAACTACTGGTGCTGCTCTCATCACTAACTGATAGTACTGAATGAATAATCCAACATCCCAAGTCATGGTGCATGCTGCTTGTGTCAATTACATCTGTTTTATATTGACGATTTCTCATAGTGCATGTTGCTTGTGTCAATTCAGATGACCTGTCCTATAAATTTTACATCTGTGGACATGATCAGCAAAGAGTACAATTTCAATAAGTATTTAAAGAGAAAATAACCTAGGAATTTAAGGACAAAGCATAATAGAAGAGAGGTCAATTTATTAACAATTTTCAAATATCAGCATACAAATATCAGAATACACCAAGATAGCATATAATGAAGGTTTGAAAACTTGTACATCTTGTCCCATGATAATAAAAGAAATTTTTTGAGCAATGGACAGTGGTATAGCAACAGAAGAAACAGGTTCAGAATGCCACCTATGTGATAGAAGAAAAAGACAAAAAGGTGGGGGAAATAGTACATATGCAGTGGCTGAATTCACAAATAATTGATTTTGACTTGACAATGGTATCCAAGGAAAAGTCCTAGAGCCTAAGGGCCCCCACACCCATGTTTCTTCAGTTTTTTAGTCTTCTATGGAACAACCTGCTTCAAGCCCTCCCAGATTGTTGTCTGCAAAATCAAAAGTAGTGCAAGATTAAGGGATCATTTTCACTTAAATAACAGATCTTACACACACCAAAAAAATAAATAACAGAAAAACCCAGTTTTATGAGACAAAAATCAACTACTTTATATTTGTCCCTATTAAGAAAAATCACTAGCGCTAGAATTGAGAAAACTTTGCAAAGAATTACTAGCGCTAGGATTTGAAGACAACCAGTGAAATTTGGCCTTCAAAACCACATGAGCCCAGATAGAAATTGCTACCACAAAGCTACACAATATATACAATGTAGCACAAGTTTTAATAAGCCTATAGTGAAGTACAATTTCAAGCATTGAGAAAATCTCTAATCATAACCCCAAGAAAACACAACAATGACATTGTGTGAAAAGTTTAAACTTACCCACACACAAGACTTGACATAAAATAGGTTGGAAAAGCTCCCAGAAGGTTTCATCTTTCTTACCCTCACCTTCTTGTGACTACCTCCAAGTGTACCAACATGATCAATATCCTTATCAGCAGAAGATGGAAAAACATGACTACCCCCACTTACTTCTCTTTTAACCTCTTTTAAGATGATCATGAAGGATTATATATCATCCACTAATAAAATAAATATACGATTACAGTTTAATTACTACTCTTTAATAAAATAAAAAGTTTCTTTGCACAACAGAGCATGGAGAAAACTGTTAGAGAACCACCAGAGCGATCATCAGAGGAGGAAGACATACTAAAGCGAAGTAATAAACGTAATAAAGATCGTGGAGAAAAATTCTCACATGATGTATCAATGGTTCCTAGGGAGGAATCCTGGATGAAGGACCAAGAGGAGGGTCGAATTTCATGGAAGGAGATGTTGCAACGTCATAATGGAGAGAAGAATGATGGGAGGGTGCTGATACTCTTGAAGGTGAGAATTTGCAAGGTGAACCAGCTGAGGAAGAAGACGTTACTTTTGGGGGCATAAAGATGTGGGCGGAAGAGGATGGAAAGACTCATTTTTGTTGCACTAAGAGAGGAAGAAGACGCTTGCATAGAGTGTGGGAAAAAGCTTTGATTGTTAAGTTGCTGGGCAGATCTACAGGTGTCTCGTTCATGAAGAAAAAGATTGAGGAGCTATGGGGAAGGAAAGGAAAAGTGAACGTCACAGATATTGGGAATGAGTTTTATGTGGTTCAATTTAGTGATGATGAAGACATGAAATTTTCTCTAAGTGGAGGCCCTTGGGTTGTCCTAGGTCATTATCTGTCCTTACGTAAGTGGGAACCTGGCTTCAGGCCTAATGCTGAGGGCATATCAAAGATAGCAGCTTGGATCCGCCTTCCTAATATTCCATTGGAATTTTATGATGAAGTTTTCTTTCGTAGGGTGGGTAACTGGATAGGGAAGTTAATAAAGATTGATAGGACTACAAACCTTCATGCTAGGGGTCGCTTTGCAAGGATCTATGTTGAACTGGATTTGGCTAGACCTTTAAAAGAAGAGTATGTTCTTGAGGGAGTTTTGAAGCATATAGAATATGAAGGTTTAGGGCTCATTTGTTTCAACTGTGGAAAGTATGGCCATAGCAAGGATTGTTGTTCTGAGATTGTTCAAGAACAGATCGTGGTGAATGAATCTCATCCTTCTGGGGATGGTGAAGCTAATAAAGTTGAAGAAAACCGGAACGGTCTTGGCCCTTGGATGGTGGTTAATCGCCAACGCCGCCCTAGAAGCCAAGCTGCTACCCAAGATGGCAGAACGCCGATGACTTCGAGAAGAATCACTCAACGTGATTTTGGGGAGAATACTGCGCAATCAAAACAGTTATCAGTGCAATCATATCAGCCTATTTTAAATGCAGTAAATACAAAATCACGTTATGCAGTTTAATGGTGATTGGGGATTTGAATCAAGCTGAGCTGGAAGTGATTAATGAGGAGCCTAATCATGAGCATAATCCTAGCGTAATTAATGACCAAAAATCAAGGGGAATTGAGGGAGCTATCAGCGTAGAAAATAATGGCATCATTAATAGTGGTTTAAAAGGTTTTAATCGAAAAGATGCCTCGAGTCATTCTAGCATTGAATTGGAAGAACATGCAGATAGGTACTTCCTTGTTGGGGGACCCTCAAATGATAGGGTAGCCTCTAAAAATGTTCCTATGCCTTCAAAAAAAGAGGATTTGGCCAATAATATAGGGCTACGTCAGAAAGCTATTGCTAAAATTCAGAACCAGCATTTGACTACCCCTATGTTACTTGTAGATAAGCAAGTTGTGTTGCCTCCTGTTCAAAATACAAAAATGGAAGTGGATCAGAACGTGGGGGACCAAAGTGGGAGTGATAATGGTTTAAAATATCCTAAAGCTCCGGATCCTAATAGGACTTTGGTCACTACCCATTCGGATGCGTCTATTTTATCGCATCACATGGAGGTTGATAAAGGAGGTATAAATGAAGATAGTGTTGAGATTGTTAAGGGGTCAGCAGGGTACCAGGAACCTGCAACCCTTATGGTTGATTGATGTCTTTGCTGGCTTGGAATTGTCGCGGGGCGGCAAAGAAAAGGTTTTTGGGAACCTTAACTAGTATGATCCGAAAACACAGAATAAATTTGACTGCTATTTTTGAACCTAGAATAAGTGGTGAGAAAGCTCAAAAGATTATTAAAAGAACATGGTATAACAGTTGTATTGTGGAAGAAGCTCAAGGTTTCATGGGAGGGATCTGGGTTTTGTGGAACAAGGAGTTCTGTAATGTTACGATTTTGGAAAAGAACATGCAAATGGTTCATTTGAAAGTTTGTTTCTCCGATAATGTTGCGTTCTTATGCACATTTATTTACGCCAATCCTAGAGAAGAGGTGAGACGTAGCCTTTGGCAGGATCTTCGTCGGATTGCTGATTCTATGAATGAGCCCTGGCTTATCACCGGTGATTTTAATGAAATTGCTTCCCCTTTAGAGAAACGTGGAGGTGCCCCGGTAGATTTATATAAATGTAACAGATTTGCTTCTTTGCTTACGGATCTGAAGATGATTGATTTGAATAGTTCTGGTTCGAGATTTACTTGGCGTGGTTCTCGTTTCCTGAATATGGATAGAGTTTTCAAACGGTTAGATCGTGCTTGCAGTAACGATTTATGGAGGGTTACATTTGAGGAGGGTCATGTTAGAGCCCTTCCTAGGTTAAACAGTGACCATAACCCCTTTCTTATATCCTTGTCTTCTTCAAAAGATGAATGGAAGGATCGTCCTTTCCGTTTCCATTCCTTTTGGCAGGACCATATCCTGTTCAATCAATTTTTAAAGGACAATTGGCACGTGCATATGAACATTACTGATTGTTTGAAGGTTCTTACCCCTTGCATTAAGGAGTGGAATAAGAAGGTGTTTGGGAATATTAAGCATAGGAAGAATAAGTTGATGAGAAGACTTGAAGGTATTCAAAGAGCCATTTCTGAGCACAATAAAGATTATCTGGAGAAAGTGGAGTGCAAGATCAAAGCTGAACTTGAGGAGGTCCTTGATCAAGAGGAGTTATTATGGTATGAAAAGTCTCGAACTCAGTGGATTAATCAAGGTGACAGAAACACGAGATACTATCATACAAAGACTATTGTCAGAAGGAAAAGAGGTAGAATCATGGAACTCAAGGATGATAATGGAAGTTGGATTCATGAAGAGGAAGGCCTGGTTAAGATGATCCACAATTTTTATATTAATCTTTTCAAAGATGAAAGCTGTCATCGTGAGTGGATCAATACTAGATGGCCTATTGTTCCTGAGGAAGTCATGGATAAATTAAGGGTGAATGTTACTAAGGAAGAAGTTAAAAAAGCTTTTTTCACA